GCTCCCATACTCGGTGGCGGTAGATAGTAGATAACACCCGCGCAGCGTGCAGATGTGCAGATTCATCTAACTCAATGTCACTGTCAGTGTCATGATAGGAGATAAGTCCTGTGTGGCCGCAGCACGACGGCTGCACTAACGGAAGGGCAAACAGCTGTTTGACGACATTGTTGCAATCAGCTGATTTCGCGTAAATATCCAAGACTGCGAGTATGAATATTAAAAGTGGTCACCGTATCATTTTTTTATCAGCTGAAGACAGTTTTAAGGTTTTTTACATAAATTTTATGTTGAGAGGGGTTTTGTTGGTTACTATAGTTCGGCCGCTTAGAAAGCGACCTCCTCCAGCATTGGTTTAGCATTAGCGCGCAGGTCGTTTTCTAAGCGGCCGAACTATACCTATGAGTACACTGTTTTAAATTGGATTTGACGATACATTTGTAAACGATTGTCCTCTGCTTTTACAACAAAAGACTAAAAACCTCCATCTCCCAAACCATATATAAATACTTATTAGAAATCAGTGCATTGAAATTGCACATAACTAATGCACATAATTACGAGTTTTGCATTCAGATGAATGAAAAGAGAACGACGTACGAAGGATGACAAGTGTACGTGTACTACTCCAAGCGTTAACATACACCCAAATAACATTTATCTACAAATAACGGTAATACCAGCATTGTTGATAAGGCATTATTGAGTCACTCCTTATTCTGTGCTAATATATTCTGAATCTCATGCCAGAATCACTTATTGGTCACGCAATCACCATCGATCAAGGTTAGGTTAGGTTAGGTTAGCTCGGTCCACATCAAAATTATCAATAAGCTACTGACTTTTCTCAGGAAGAAACTGGTGACTTTCTGATTGTTTTGATTGGGCACAGTAACCAATTTGCTACCTAGATGCTAAATCTATTTACATTTTATCAGATTTAAATACGAGTAGTTTCATTCAAACCTCTCTACTATGACAACCATATTACAGCCTCGGCTTACTACAGCATCTAAAGCACCCTGAACTCGTGTGTATTCTTTGTTGAGTAAGGTTCTCCCAAACCTCGCCGGGCGGACGTGAAACCGTCGTCGTGAGATGAGCGCCGACAGACGAGTGTCCAAGTCCAAGGTCAAGGATGTCGTGACCGTCCAGACACTTCAGACTACAGGTCGTGGCTTACCGTCTGTGACGTCACCAGCCCACGGACAGTGGTTTGGGCCTTGACTGATCGCTACAGCATTATTTGAATTCGATCTGATTCGATTTTGGCTTTCTTCTCCTATAGAATATGTATTATCCCATACTACACACATGGGAGAACACTCATACATGTGTAGGAAGTATTGTTTTAATCAAAAGTTCCGGATTTGAGCTTTTGGGGGGAAATATCCTTTTTTGGTCCTTCTGGACCCGTATAATGAGAGCTACAGGCTTCACCTATGATCCAATTTGGATGAAACTTTGTATATCTTTTCTGGTGGTTTCTATGATAGTTTTTCTTTAATTTTTAGAATTTTGATTTTTAATGGTATTTTTTTATAAAAGCCCTTCAAAACGGAGGATTTAATTTGTTCCCTTCTGCTTAAACGATTTTTATTGAAATCTAGCATAGTATAGCCCTTATAACGTTGGACAAAATAACACGACTCCCAAAGGTTGTAAAAATTACGGTTCTATATCTATTCAATTTTTGTAATTTTCCCATTACAAAACTCATATTTTCCCCACCGTTTACCCAATATAAAGATTTAAGATTTTCTTATAAATGTAGTAGGATGTTTAACTTTAATTACAAGCTAATGGGAGATACTATGTATCAGTTTGCTGATACCGTTTATTAAAGTCAGCAACGCACATTTAGGGTCCAAAGAAATGAAAGATGGGTGTAGAATGGAGTGAGATGGTCTGTGAAGATTTGTTACTGACTACGACCAGCTGTTTTTTGGCAGGACCATTTTATTAAAGTGTTATTACATTATTATAAGCCTAACGATTAAGGACAGCTGGGCCTTTCACTGATAAAGTATCGCGTGCTGGAGATTCTGAACAAAACGTCTTCAGGATGGTGTGGAAAAGATAGGGGTAGTTGTGAGATTTTTGAGGATCTCTGTAGGTCTTGCAAAGTTTAACAGAGTTAATTTAAGTACTTGTGTAAAATTGTTTCAGAGTTTGGAAATACAGAAATCTTCTAAAAGTGGCGAAAAACACTTCTAAGAGAATTTAGAACCAAGTATAAATTTAGAAAGGCTTGACGTGTGTGTTGAACTATACCTTTTTACATAAAATTTAATAGAAGTAAAGGAAAAAGTTATACCAACTTATGAGCTTATTTTGTCCCTAAGCAGTGACTATCCATACTTAAAAATCTTACAATTTGGGATGGTTTTCATAATAAACACACTGTATAACAAACATTCTAACATGATGACCTACAAAACAAGAAATTCAAGTTTACAAGATCTTCCAATAATGTGTCCAACGAATATACCCTGGAAGTCTTCTTCCTCTAAGTTAAAGGAAACTAGGCTTGAATAATTTCTCAAGTTTGAAAACAAATTAGAACGCAGTTACAGTTGACTGTGAATGGGCGTAATTTCTGTAGAAAATTAAACTAAATGAATTCGTGACAGAACTTTACCTGTACAGTGACAGCATGTATATCCCCCGGAAGTATCCATAACGGATCCACAGAGAAGTGGACAGTAGGACTGAGTCCAATGACGATCCTGGACACAAACATCACAAACACAAAACACAAACGGCTGGCTCGGAGGCTATGCAAAGAATAGTCGCGACATTTAGGGTTCGCCGAGTGAAGTGGTTAACTAATGAGAGCATTGTGCGAGGAGGGCACTGCCCGGTGGTTCCCAGGCCTTGGAGGAACCCCAGTGACCTGGGGAGTGAGCCGAGGTGGAAACTGTAGTGAGGAGACGAGAATGGTGGAGGATTGTTGAGAATGGTGGAGGACTGCTGAGAATGGTGGAGGACTGTTGAGAATGGTGAAGGATTTTTGTTGAGAAGGGTGGGGAACTGTTGAGAATGGTGGAGGAGTTTTGAGAATGTTGGAGAATTTTGAGAATGGGGGAGGATTGTTTAGACTATTGAGAATGGTGGAGAATTGTTTAGACTATTGAGAATGGTGGAGGATTGTTTAGAATGGTGGAGGAGGTTTGAATCAAATTCGGAGAAAATCTCCAACAGACTATAAGGCAATACGGTTAAAAGGTTATACGTATTTTGGACTATGTCACACAACGTATAAGAATTTCACAGAAATAGTACTATATTCCTTAATTTTTCTTATGTAACAGCTGATGTAGCTTCTCAAACCATAGTTTAGCTTTGTCCAACTGTTGTTTCAAAGGTAGGAAGTTGGAGGAGGTGGAATTGCTTCCCCTACAAGTACAACAGACTACATTTTGTGAACGAAGTATATGAAGACAATGTCACACAGACTAAATTGCACTATGGAAAAGCATCAAGATCAAGTAAACTATATATGTTACGGACTAAATTCAATAGTGATTAAATAGCTACCGACAAAATGTCAAACATATTAGTTGGTAGTACGAAAGAAATGACAAATGTTAAAAGGAAGAGACATATTTGCACACTTTCATTTTAATCTTTACTTTCTAGAATTTTACCAAGTTTATCCAAATATATTCTGGATCCTAAAAGGAAGAAGTGCACATTTCATCTGGATATTTCCAATATGAATAAAAGTTACTTACAGACAGCGATAGTATCATTAGGTACCAGACGTGGACTTTACATCACTGCTATAGATGCAACATTTCGATCGGTATCGATCAATTGTAATCTCACAAGCCGAAACATGTAAACAATGGTGTCATAATTATGCTGTTTGTCGGATTATTGGTGTGTAAACCTATTCATCACAGTTTTAATGATTGAAAAACACAACACTAAACAGGTGTCTGAAAATACTGAAAATAGTTCGGGTGTTTATTTGTTGGGCAAGTCCAATTGCATCACTTCAGTTATAGCAGCTTACCCAATGTAAGTGAAGAAATGAAATGTACAAATGAGGGGTTAGGTTAATGGCCCAGAGAGTATTGGGACTTGGGGACTTAATGTGGTTACATTCCAGCACACATTGGAGAGTGGCGTTCAATGCTGCAGCTTGCTGTACGTACGTTTGAGCAAATCTGGCCTGATCAATTTGTATTTAATGGGAACGATTCCGTAATAATTTAAATTTTAAGCCTGCCTCAGGCTTGGAAATAATGCTTTTGGAGTGTGTAAGCTGGGATTGTAAAATGATAGTTAAAAAGTGGTAGAAACGTTAAGGACTATGGGCCTGATCAGAAGATTTCCGAAAGATTATGTGGGGAGCCTAAACTAACCTAATCCACAGTCGATATAGCAACCATAGACAAATTAGGTTACTATATTGTCTGTGTCTAACTTATCCATTTCTTCTAACCATAACGTAACCTTCTAACATTCAACTCAACTTGTGCCTTTTAATATTTTCTAACCTAGCCTAACCTAACGTTAACGTAACATTCTAACATTCAACTCAACTTGTGCCTTTTAATCTTTTCTAACCTAGCCTAACCTAACCTTATCGTGACATTCTAACATTCAACTCAACTTGTGCCTTTTAATATTTTCTAACCTAGCCTAACCTAACGTTAACGTAACCTTCTAACATCAACTCAACTTGTGCCTTTTAACCTTTTTTAACCTAACCTCCTAGACTAAATGCTTTATATATGTATATAGTTTTAAAATGACATAAACATGAGAAAATAAATCTGTCCCGGGCCAAGATCTTACCGTGAGACCTACTGCCCTAGGGAAATTTGCAAAAATTGAAGACTGCTACGGCTACACAATCATCACACGTTTCATTTACAGCGTGGGGTGAAAATAGAGAAGCCTGTACATTACATATTTTTGGTCGAGTTTTCGACCACTGGACGACCTCTAGTACTTATTGAAACAAGGTTGTTTAATAATTATCAATATAGATGGTAGCAATCCTTTATTACATAAATTCATTACCAAAAACTGCATTGATAAATACTTGCTACAGTTCATGTGAGTGACGTATCCTAAGGTCCTTCTTTGAAATTTTTACCATACATACCACAATAATCTCTTTTGCTTATTTCCCAAATCCAGTCCGACTCTAAGAAAATGAAATCCTTTTTCACTCCTTGAATAGTGTCCTTCTGTCTATAGCCTTGACGCTTTTCCATCACCAGAGTGACGCATGTTGTCTTCGACGTGAGATAGCTTAGTTCCAGTTTGTCACATGTCTTTTTGGATATATGGTAAAACAAACGAGTCTTTCCATTTGGATCCTCTTTTGCCTTAAACGTTGCTAGAAGTCGATGGCCAAGGTACATATTTGTAATTCTCCACTCTTGGTCTATTTTTACATTAATACCATAAGTTGAATACAAATAACAACTTGTTAAGTCATGTACTAGCTCAAACGAATAATCAGGATTTACGTCGATTGTTTTTCCGTCAACTTCGTACATAGGTTTAACTGGAAACAAAAAATTATGGTAAAAATTCTTAGACTTAATGAGACACTCTATTGATAGTTTCAAAAGTGGTGGCGCAGAAAATGGCATCAACTGTAATTGATATTTTGTGTGATGTGCGAGCTAAACTCTGTATAAGTAAAAATAATAAACTATGTAACATAATGACAACAAACCTCGCAATATTTTGTCACCGTTTATTTCACACTACATTTTATAGGTTTAATAGAGTTTCTTCTGGTGAAAATAAGTTAAACCTAAGACATTAGTTATTAAGAGGGTTTTATTTTGCCTTGACTGTACCCCATTCAGTTATCAAAACACTATGCCACAAATTCAAGTAATTTCATGAAAATATTTAGAAAATTTAGAAAATCATTCCATGAAAAATTAAACATCTCTTAAAGTTGTACCTTTATGGAAATAAAATATTGTTTGTTATCAAATATGGGTTTCTTTTGAGTTCAAAGCTGAAGATCCAATGCAAACATTGATATTCCTAACCTAACTTAACCAAACCTAACCTAACCAAACCTAAACCTCAGACCTGGTAGTTGACCTCAGAAAACATTACTTGCATCCCATATCACAAAAACGATACTGTAGTGATTGATACCATAGATTAAACATACTGTTGATACTTTAGTTTCACAAAGCTCATAGGGATTAGGTCAGAAAAGAAAGAGTACAGTCAATGCAAACATTTCGCACCAAGGTCTCATTGGTGCACCAGGCAAGGGGGAGCAGTTTACCTCCTCCCCTACCAGGCAGCCTGAAGTTCAATTCAAGATGACGGATTATATGGATTGAAATATAGGTCGGGATTGAACATGCCTCTATGTACCAGCTCTCGACATTCTAAAACTAATTTGATTCCGATGATGTGTTTTTTGTGCTCCATGTCAGACCTTGCAATGGATGGGGGACGTTTAATTTTTAACTATTATTTATAAGGAGCTAAAATCACATGTAAAAAGGACTAATTTGCGGATTTTCAAAATGATTTTGTAAATTATTAAAGAAACAATTACAGTACGCAGTATAATTTCCTCAAGTGCATAGTTTGGGTCTTTGTGAATATTTTACAGTTTATTTCAAATCGATAAACACTTTACCATGAGGTTCTTTTTTGTAGGACCATGTTTACGCGGTAACCAGCTGTGAGTGTCATACAACAATCCGTACAACAGTAGATTCATTCGACAGACGACGAGGTTTCTCGGATTGAAAAATGAGCTAGTAATTTATTTTTGTAGCAGATTAAATTTGTTTTAATATTTTGTCTCTGACACTAGTGAACGAACCTTTAAGGCATTGCTTACCTGGAATGAAATCATCTGGAATTTCCGTGGAACCGGCTGCTTCGATTAGCATAGCTTTGCATAGTACTATGCAGAAGAAAGCCTGAAAACGTATTTCAATAAGACAAATAAAATAAATCGTTCTGATTAGACACATCCTATAAAACAGTTTTTATGTAGATCTCGGATATCTGCTACAGTAGCCCGTCGAGGAAATCCTTAGGCTGCAATTCACCTGACCGAAAAATGGAAACCCTCCCACCCCTAGAACCTCCTCATCCCCCCACGCATATCTACTCTTGACCGGTAAATGGACTGACCGCAAAATGGAAGACATCGCTTAAATAAACCGTCTAATTTGACTCTGACTCACTTTAGTTGAAATCCGCTCACTCTCAAGCAACTGCTGCGATTTCTAACTACACAACGGTCGAATTAGAAACCACAGCAGGAGGACAACCGCTACCGCTCACGCTCTTTGTGCATAAATTGGGGCCTAGGGGTACGCACACCGGAGCGGTGCGGCGGAGCGGTGCGGCGGAGCGGTGAGGCGGAGCGGTGCGGCGGAGCGGTGAGGCGGAGCGGTGCGGCGGAGCGGTGCGGCGGAGCGGTGCGGCGGAGCGGTGAGGCGGAGCGGTGCGGCGGAGCGGTGCGGCGGAGCGGTAGCGGTGCGATATACGCGTACAATGGAAGTAAAAGCGAGCGACCACACTGGAGCGGTGCAAGCGGTAGCGGTATACCGCCCGTGCCACCGCACCGCCGAGATGCAGCATGTTCCATTTCACCGCCCAGCGGTGCCGGTGCGACGAGCCATTTGTTTTTCTTGTCTTTTCCAAGTTTTAGGCGTAACTCTGTCCGTTACAATGCTCACACATTGATTAGCAGTGCAAGCCCAACTGAAGACATCCACAATACTTCCCTCAAGCTTGTTTACACAAACACTGGTTACTGGTTCCCCTCTGATTATAAATTAAAAGTCAAAGTTTGGTATTAACTATCTTTATATAAACCAAAAGTAAATATTTACAAACACAACATAAACAAATGAATATTAAACATATGTTATTTGTCATCTTCCCCTTGAGCTTGGAGTCCTAATCTTTTTTTTATAAATCTATTATTTCTTCTCTTTATACCCTTGTCTTTAATAGAAACTAAATGACTGCGCCATGATTATAAATTAAAAGTCAAAGTTTGGTATTAACTATCTTTATATAAACCAAAAGTAAATATTTACAAACACAACATAAACAAATGAATATTAAACATATGTTATTTGTCACCCTCCATTTTCCTTCACAGATTCCAGATCCCAAACCCACTAAAATCCAAAAAAGAATATTATGTGATCCAGTCACAGAATGCTATAGCAAGGGAGTATGTTTTATCTATGGCTATAGTGTCTGAAATGTTAATTCTACCTTTTTTGTTGCTGACTTAGTTGATGGGACATAACAGTGGCTATAGCTAATAATAAAAACTAGTGTCCCTGTTGCTCGAATTCGAGCAATTCCTAAGTATTACAGGCGTTATTTTAAAACGAATTTCAACCAAGTCAGCAAGTTCAAGTCAGCAAACTGTTGGCAAACTTATTGACTGTTTACAATTAAGATATGCTCTTCTTCTCACTTTAGATTTGTGACAACAGCTGGAGTTTCATAACAATTTTTGTTTCCAATGTTAATCTTATAGAGAAATACGAAACTTTAAAGGGCTCCATGGCCTAACTCTCTCATTATTTCCCTAAAAAGAAAGTTTCCTGCACAACTTCACGTTACGATCTTTTCAATGACACCAAAAACATGACAATCGGTTCAGTAGTTTCGGAGTAGTAATTGTAACAAAAATCCTGCTTGCGTATTAAATAAGTATAGATGCAATGGTATTTTAAAAATGGAGTTTGTCCGTTGGTATGTAAAATAAATAAATAAATAAAATATCATCCGATAAGTTTGGCTTAGAAAAAACATCGTGTATTCAACAGAAATTAGTAATTTAGATCAGCGCAATCTGTCGGTGGCTCACATCAACTACGACAAATTTTATTAAAAAACTGGCAACAACTGAAACATGGTGATAGAATTGGAATGACTAGATGTATAAATAATCAAAGGTACTAGTGTATTGGTTTAAATTAACTAAAACTAGAGGTCGTCCAGTGGTCTAAAACTCGACCAAAAGTATGCAATGTACCCGCATTGAATATTGGATACTGAAGTAGACATTCCATCTATGTGGACCAGTTGTCACCTTTATTTTACTAAAACATGTATTTGTGGCCACAGTATGCGTGTCTTTAATTATATTTTCTATCATATTTTTTGTTACTGACAAAGTTGATGGTTCATAACAGTTAGTTGCTATAGCTCTTAATAAGTCCTTCCATAAGTTTGACTTGGCAAAAATCATGGTGTATTCAAAAGAAATTAGTCATTTAGATCAGTGCAATCTGTTGGTGGCCCACATACTGTACGACGAATTTCATTAAAACTGGCGACAACTTTAACATAGGGAGGGAATGTCTAGTTGAAAGTCAAAGGTACAGGCTTCTCTATTTTCACCCCATGTTGTAAATAAAACATGTGATTGTAATTTCTTCCATTTGTTTAGATTAGAATGCATATTTAATAATAGAATACAATTTGGAAACTACCCTTGGATCCATGTTAAAAATAACGCCCTATGTTAACAGTCTATACAGGTTTTGTACAAATTATTAAATACCCTTTAAAAAGTGTGTTCAACAACTTACCAGTAAAAACAGCAGCAACTCGTCCATCGCGAAATTATGTTGCTGGTTAGAAATAGAACTGCGGTTTTATACTGTGAAAACATCTGTCTCAACAAATTATCATATTGACGTCATACATAGGCATATGATGTACAACTGTTGTACGTAGGCTAGTCAAATTTAGCAAAAACGTCAAACTAATTATAATTTATTTTTGTAAAAAAATACAACCAACTTCAAACGCTCTAAAAAGAATGAAATAATTTCAATAAAGTAAACTTTTGTATTAGGCAAGCTCACGTATCTTAAGTCGGCGCGGCTCTATGATGATTTTTGATACAAAATTGAAAGAGGGTGTCCATATTGCAGGTGACTATCTATAACTAAAGGTGTTAATCTGCATGTCTTTTTCATAGTTATGCGTTAAGTGTTATTTTATTACCGTAATCAGAGATCGGCATTATAGTGGTAATAACGAGTACTAGTGTACCTGTTGCTCGAATTCGAGCAATTGCGAAGCAAACAGGCGACTCAAAGATTATGGAAATACTCACGATCTATACAACAGTTAGTTATAAACAAAATCTTTTGGAAATATCTTATCTTTTTTCAAAAAGCTTATCTTGTTTTTTTAGTGTTTTCTACAAATTTCTCCCTCTCATAGCCGCATTAGGTTGTCTATGACAACGATTATAAATGAAAAAAAATTATTTCTATTTCTTCTACTTGGTTGTGTTCTATGACTTTTTCTATGTTTTGTTTGCAAATCGATTATTTCAATGATTGCTCAAGAAATGTAGAACAGTGTTAATTCAGTTTTATTTTTAGCCTATATCAAATTGTCCAGGATTTCTCGCTCTTTTCCATTGTAATAATTACACAAACCCAAGTTTCGTCTACAGATGCAATATGCCAACGAATATCACCTACGTACAATCTCCAAGAAGTGGTAAAAAAGGCAGAAACCAACCCATTACAATAGATATAAGTTAACTCCATAAGAAAAAAATTTAAGAGTTTCTGTGATATAAGGATTTACCACTGATTTGGTAAAAGACCATTATATTGCAAAACATAGTACGATTCAGAAGAAAATCGATTTTAAAATCAACCTATTACAATAGATATAAGTTAACTTCAAAAGAAATAATTTTAAGAGTTACTGTGTGATATTAGGATTTTCCACTGATTTGGTAATAGAACATTATATTGCAAAACATGACACGGTGCAGAAGAAAATCCAATTTAAAATCAGAAAAATCCATTGTAAATACTGTACTTAATTTTGACAAATTCAATAAATCACAATTTAAATATTAACAGCTGTTTCATTAAAAAGTAGTGTAGAATTATGCATATGGTCGTAATGTAAACAAATCTGAAGAGGCAACTTTAAAGGCTTCTGGGGCAGAGCCCCAAGGGAATTTACCTCGTTCCTCTTTTGATGGCTCATCTACAGACCAAGACCTTTCTTTAGAGACCCCTACCAAGTTTCTACGCCCAACCGTTCTCTCAAATTAGCTGTGACAAAAACCCCGTTTTCCTCCATAAGAATAACATGGGATGGGAATTTAAAGGCCACTGGGGCAGAGCCCCAAGGGAATTCACCATGTTTCTCTTTTGATGGCTCATCTACAGACCAAGACCTTTCTTTAGACACCTCTACCGAGTTTCTACACCCAGCCGTTCTCTCAAAATAGCTATGACAAAGAAAAACAGTTTCAAATTAATATATAGATTTTAAAAAGATTATAACGCATTTAAATGTTTCTAACTTGGAAAAGTAACGTTTTAACACTAAGGCCCCGTTTATGCACCAAGAGCGGGAGCGGGGCGATAGCGGGCCCGCTCCCGCTGTGAATGGGCCTGTTTATGCACGAAGAGCGATAACGGTAGCGGTTGGTTAAAGGAGAATGGAAGGGGGACACAGTCTTGCCAACTCATACTCTGCCAAATAATTAACACAACTATTTGTCCTCAGTGCACGTGCGCGTGGGTCAAGTTGGCAACCCTGGCTTGTGCCCAAGCAACCGCTGCGATTTCTAACTACACAGCGGGCGAATTAGAAACCGCAGCGGGAGGTCAACCGCTATCGCTGTCGCTCTTGGTGCATAAACAGCCCCATTTAACTCAATGGTGTTAGAAATCGCTCCCGCTGTCGCAACCGCTCCCGCACTTGGTGCATAAACGGGGCCTAAGGCGTTTCCGTGTGTGTTATAAGAATCACAGAGACATTTGTGAACATACTGTACATAGAAAAAAAAAACATCGCCACAAACAAATTGAGAACCTCCTCCTTTTGTTGGTAGTGGGGAAGTTAACAAAAGATACCAAGTAAGGTTTTTAGATGCGGTATTGGGTCCCGAACAACATATCAAAAGTCTACCAAAATCCACGCTGGGAAGGCCACCATATTGGTGCCATCTTTGATTTCCCAAAAAAACCTGAGACTTGCTAGTATTATGGCTCTTGAACGGCCAAATATCAACCGAATGGAGCAAACAATGTGTCAATTTAATATAGAATTAAACCAGCTTTTTAATTATGTATAAAATGTAGACATTTGACAAGCTGAAATTTTGTAAATCCTAAAAAACTTGGAAATAAACAAGCTACTTTTGGTTTAATTTTAAAACTGAAATACAGTTATGATACCACAATGACGTTCTTGAAGTCTTGGAAGAAGATCAGGTCGAATGTTGTCTCGTCGAGAAGATATTTTTGATGAATGTCCAAATGTTCTCACAGTACACAGAATTTAGAGTCAAATTAAAAAGGGTTTAATGCACACAAAAGGAAAATGAAACAAGTCCAAATAAAAGGAGAGCTATTACCGTAGTACTCATGGCAAGACCTGGACGCGGGACCGATTTTTGTTTTGTTTTGAGGTCCCTAGAGGCCAAAAACACCATCCGTTCAAATTCATATATATATATATATATATATATATATATATATATATGTCCGTCAGCACGATAACTCGAGCAAAAATGATCCGATTTTGATGAAATTTGGTACAAACGTGTAAACGTACGTTTATTCGAACGAGTTCGCGATCCAGCATGATCGGACCATGGGAACGGGGGTTTACGGGGGGTTTTATGGGGTAAAAATAGGTTTTCCCATTTTTGACCCAAAAAACATAAAATTTAGCAATTTCTTTCCAAACCATTTTGTAGAGCTTAAAAAAACAAATAATTTAGTATATTGAAGCGTTATTATGCGCCTAATGGTTACGGAGAAAATTCCAAAAAATTGTAAATTTAAAATTCACATGTTATTCTTATGGAGAATAAGTAAACTGTTGTAGTTTGCTTGTTTGTGAACATATTTTGATCAAATTTGGAAAATGTTTTTATTTCTTACTAACTATTCACATTTTACAAAAAAAAAAAACAGTTTTACCCTCCCTGATGCAGCAAGCCTAAGTACTTGTTAAACTAATTCTATTTAAATCAAGAATAAATGTTATATTTTTAAGTAGACATTTCAGTGTAAATCCAATCAGGCAAATGGAAATTCGCTTAGTCTGCAGGTTTGCTGTGGCGGGGGTATTTTTTTAAATTTGATTGTTGTATTGCGTGGGGATTTTGCAGCATACTCTTTCTCTCTCACACGATCAGCAGGCCTGCTAATGAATGCTGAACTAATATTGTTTGTTTAAACGAGCATTTGCTTTTGTCAAGTGTTTTTGTCTACTCATTTAACCTATACACTAATCCAGCACAACCTAACCTAACTTTAAAGTGAGGAGGTTCTCTTCTCACCCTCCACCTTCTCGTGGTGTGGTTGTCACCCACCCTTCGAAAGCTTTAGGAGAGATTCATGTTTTGCCCCAAAAAGTAAGGACATACAGTTCACCAGAACAACCTGAAAAACAATGCGCATGTCATTTATCGCGCAAAATGACCATGAACTACAACTTTTTTGGTGATTATCATGTGTTATTGGTGCACAATGACTCACTAGTATTACACATTGGCACATACACATGTTTGCCGCCCTAGGCGCTTCTGTGCAGGTGGACACAAACCAGTTCCGCCCAGGGCGCAGGAAGCGCATAACGGGCGCATCATCAGCCTAAGCTACATGATCCAATTAATTCGGGAAAACACACAGCCACAACCGTTAGGCTGCATGGTTACACCTAGCGTGGGAACGGGAATATTTATTGTGTTTCCCGCGGTACTGCTTCCTTTGGTGGGATAAAGTCCCAGGATGGGAAATTTTGGGTACCGGAGGGATAATTTATTACAGATCAAACAACTATTTTGAGTTTACTTGGTAATAAAAAAATACTATTAAGCAACCAATTTTCAATTGAAAATTGTTGTAAAAATACATTACTATTCGTAGAATTTTTGAATGCATGTTAGGTTAGGGTAGTTATCCTATTATAACTTCCAGAATTGTTTAATAACCTATTCAATTTGCATCCATCCTAACCTAAACAAACCCTATTTAAATGACTCTCCATGCATATTAAAGAGTTGGGTCTAGCTAATTTGTTTTGATTGGTCGGTACTGTGCCTATTATCTCAGGTATTCATAATTGTTTACAAAATAACAGCTGTATGATGTGGTGAAGGAATGTTGTGAGTTTCGTTATACTGAAAAATTGTACATAGTGTATTGTGATGAATGATACATTAAAAACTATGTATTAATCTGTGATAACTTATCATGTAGAACGGAAACATTATTTTTTTGTCCTATGACGCTAGACACGAGCCAGAGATCGTTTTTCACATTACTTCAAGGACTTAGGGGTTACGTCAATATTACTTAAATAAAATCCATTTGTGATTTGGCGGGGTTTGAACCCAGTACCTCAGGGACCTAAGGACCTAAGTTCTGTGCTCTACCACTAGACAAAATAGCTCAGCAAGGTTAGTAGTGAGTATTGCAAAAATTGCAATTTTTTCGGTGGCTGTGCTGGATGGCTGTATTGGATTTCAATGACAGAATGTTTAATGTCTACTGATTTCAAGCAGGAGGTTTTCAACACACATCCTTAGGTATTACCAGGGGCAATTTATATATATAAAAAAAAAAAAACAGAGTGTTTTTAAAGCGTTGATCAACACAATCGCCGGGAAACCACACTGATACAGCAATGTGTTTTGTTTGTGGCT